TTTTATGTGTCATAACAAAAAATTAGAAATAACCTAAATGCATGTCAATAGGAGATTAAACAAGCTAAGGTACACCCATATAGTGTAAAAATATGCAGCTATGTAAGAAATTGCTCAGCATTCTGATAGAATTATAGGTAAGTTTTTAAAAAGGTATAGAATAACAAAAAGTATGTAACCTTATGTGTAAAAAAGTGGTAATAAAAATACACATTTATATTTGCTTCTATTTTATAAAGAAATTCTAGTCAGATATATTATGCAAGAAACTAATAACAGGAGTTATATTTATTTTATTTATTTTGAGTCAAGGTTCTACTACAGTCTACACAGACTACAGTCAGTGGCATGGATCATGGCTCATCACAGCTTCAACCTCCTGGGCTCAGGCGACCCTTCCGCCTCAGCCTCCTGAGTAGCTAGGACTACAGGCACATGGTACCAAGCCTAGCTAATTCTTTAATTTTTTGTAGAGACGAGGTCTTACTATGTTGTCTAGACTGGTCTCAACTTTCTGGGCTCAAACAATACTCCCCTCTTGGCCTCCCAAAGCAATGGAATTACAGACATGAGCCACCATACCCAGCCAGGAGTTACATTTAGGGAGGTGGTAGAAGTTGAGTGAACAGGGGACAGACAAGGAAGGGAAATTTTTCTCAGTATAACCTTTTTGTTGTTATTTTTAAATTTTTGTAACATGTGAATATATTGCTTATTTAAAAAATTGGATTATAGGCTGGGTTTGGTGGCTCAGCCTGTAATCCCAGCACAATGGGACACTGAGGCGAGTAGACTATCTGAGCCCGTGGGTTCTAGAACAGCCCAGGCAACTTGGCGAGACCTCGTTTCTATAATAAATAAAAAATTAGCTGGGTGTGGTAGCATGTGCCTGTAGTTCCAGCTACTTGGAAGGCTGAGGTAGAAGGGTCGCCAGAGCCCAGCAGGTCGATGCTGGGATGGCTGTGAGGGTGCTACTGCCCTCCAGCCTGGGTGATAGAGTGAGACTCCAACTCAAAACAAGAAAATTAGATTATAAAAGTCTCCATAAGGAATATGAACAAGCTATTAACATTCATGCTGGGGCAATAAAATGGAGACAAGTGCCAATCTCAGAAGGTGACCCTGGCAAGAAAGTTCTAGAGGCAGGCTAGTTAGTTCCGGTCCCTGGAAACCAATGAATCCCAGCACTTTGGGAGGCCAAGGAGAGAGGATTGCCTGATCCTGTGGGTTCGAGACCAGCCTGGGCAACTTGGTGAGATCTCGTCTGTACAATAAATCACAAAAACTAGCCAAACATGGTGGTGTACATCTGTAGTTCCAGCTACTTGGAAGGCTGAGGCAGAAGGCTCGCCTAAGTCCAGCAGGTGGAGGCTGCGGTGGCCATGAGCATGCCGCTGCACTCCAGCCTGGGTGATAAGAGTGAGACTCCAACTCAAAAAAAAAGAATGCGTAGATAGAGGCATGGGCATACACAAACATACATGATGCCTTACCAGACACAAGCTGGAAAGGGTTCCCACAGTTGGAGATTTCTGCATGATCAGGCAAGGGCTAAGAGAGAGAGAATATGCATCATGATTCAGATTCAGGACACACTGACAGATCTCTAGGAAGCCCTCTTTCAGTTCTCCCCTGCAATTCATAAGTTATAGTGATGTTAGGGATTCCTAAGTGTTCTCGTCCTCTTGTCTTCCCAAAGTTAGTGAGTAAAACAATCCACATCTTCCAACATCTTCCAACATCTCAAACCCTTCTCCACCCGAGTTTTGCTGTCCCTTCTCTATCAGTGGAAAAATCCCTGCCCCCTTCCTTTTGGGCTGGGTTTTGAGCCTTTAGTGGGCTCTTCCAGTACAAGTACCATGATTCATACAGCACAGGACAAGAGTAAAGTGGTAGCAACAAACAGCCTCAGAAAAAAGGGGGAGGGGGTCGTGGAGAAGCAGGAAGACTGGTCTTTTACCAGACTGATGCTGAAGCGTGTGCATTTCAGCTCATCCAGAGTCTGCTTCTGTAGCTGCTCAGTGATCAGGGTTATCATGATTCTCCCCAGGATTTGACTTGCACACTTTGGAGCAAATGATGGATGTCTTCCCTGTCGTTCTTCCAGACCTCACTCGTGAGCCGTCTTCTGCCACTGCAGCACCATTCTAGCACCATTGGGACTTCCCTCTCCAGTCATGCCTGCTGAGTCTGCCAATTAGAGGGACCAGTCCCAAGTGACATTAGAGATGTACCTGGTCCAGAGATGGAAAATGCATGGCACACATACCACAGCACCCCTAAGCCAGGCCTCTGGCAGACATCAATTGATCATAACTCTTTCCTGCTAAGCCTAAACAACCTCAGAAACTTTCTGAACTTGGTACTCCAAATATCCAGTAAAATAAGTTGGAGTTGGCAGTCAAGTTGAAACTCACTTGCTACTCCTAACCTGGTTCATACTCTGTTTCTAACTGGAATACCAGCACCACTTAGGAAATAGCTCAAGTGAGAGAGAGAGAGAGGGATGCCCAAATGGTTATTTCCATCCTGCTCAGCCCAGTATTTTATCCTCCAATCAGAAGCGAAGAGAGATATGCTTCTCCTAAACTACAGAAATAGTAATAGAGCACAAGGAAAAGCAGTGGTTGTAGTTATGACTGTTCTCTCATAGCCTAAACAGCCTATCAGCAGTTATTTGTTTTCCAATAGATACTGTGTATATTTTCTTATCAAAAGGGAAAAGGAAAAGAAAAGATCAGGGTAATTCCAATACATTGAAACTCTCAGATGTTATAAACAACTACTCCATGACTTTGCTCAACTGAATTTTTAGCCTAATCTGACTCTAAGATCATGGATAAAATTAATCAAGATTCTTTCTCAGGGTCAATTTCCAATAGAAGCGAACTAACTTTGTCAGAGAACAGGTTTTAAGCCCACACAATTGCCTGAGGGGCCTTGCTCAAGGGAAGAGGGGAGGTTAACCTAGTGTCTTGATTTTGTTCTGCCTATTCCCAAAAATGACCAGCAGGCAGATAGCTCACCAGGGAATGTATGTAGCATTAGCTAGTTGAGAGAACAAATCATCAAGAAATCAATTTGCTGAGTTTTGGCAAGTCATTCAACATTCCCTGGCCTTGGTTTACCCATATGCAAAATGGGCAGAATAATCTGAGTCTGTCATAGGAACAATATAACACAAAACATCAAAATGTCCAAAAGCATGCCATCTGGTCTGTAAAAATCAGAAGTCCACAGAGACTGTCTTTTCTCATCTCTCTTATTTGTAGCTCTTCAAAACCTCAGAATGCCAGAAGGGGTGATATCATTAAGATGCAGAGGCAACAGGGTCTACTTCTCTGGCTGGATGCCAGCCTCCTTTACCTGCACACTAACAAAAGCCCAAGAGGGTTCTTCCTTCTGTGACCTTGGGGGCAGAACACTCTACCAAAAAAAGGGAATCATCTCTACCCCCATTTTCACCTCAGAGAGAGGCCACAAGGAAGAGCAAAGAAATAAACCTGGATGTACTTGGAGTTTTTTGGAAGAAAGGTGCAGAAGTCAATCATCATTATAGTTAACTATCATTTTCATGCATAACTATTATTACCAACCTAAACAAACTTCTAGCTTCCGGAGAGCTCCCTTCAGTTGCTTCCCCTATGTTCTCATGGGAGAAGCTGAAGCTTATATCACTTCTGCTCTGGGTTTCTTAACTCTGCCCTCAAAAATCAACCAGAGAGGGAACCTAACTGCAGGCTTTTACCCTGGAGACCCCAGGCCTCAGGCTGAACAGCCATGAGGAACAGGGAGTGAAGCAAACTCTTTCAAGCTTTTCATGAGGCATTTGGACAAACAGCAAACTCCCAGCCCTCTCTAGGATCAAGTGAAGAGAGTGATTTTGTGTTTTTCTGCATTTTAATTGTTGAGATGTGGCCACACACAGCGGTAACTGGAACAATGCAACTACCACCACGCAACTGATACTCTCAGCCTGAGTTTCCTAAAACAGGCCAGGCTGAGAGGGGGAACAGAACGGAAGCCATAAGGAATCAAACCAGGACACAAAAGAAGGCAAACCAGCTCCGCGAGGGGCCTCCTCTTTCTCAAGCAGGCAATGAAAAAAGTGTAAGAAGCCCTCTCTTGCCGCCTTCCTTCCCCTTCCATTTTGTACATCTGAGGGTAGATACAGCCCTGATCGTTCACCAAACAAGTCAAAACTTCTCAGCTAACAACTGGCACGGGACTCAGCCCTTCACAGAGCAGCAGGCCGCTAGGGCCTCCCAGAAACCCCACCAGGCCTAACTCTCAGTCCAGGCTTTCCCTCTACCACCAGCCCCCTCAAACAGAGACCGGACCCCCACTCCACCTCCTACTGGATGGCAGTAACCCCTGACACTCCTGTTTCAGGGATGCTGAGGCTGTGCTGAAACACGGACAACCTAGGATCAAGTCAGGCCAAGGGGGAGGAGAGTCACAAATCCCCTGGGGACCTTCCCCCCAGGATCCAGCCCCCCACCTCTAGGGGAGACTAAAGGAAAACATGAGGGAGACAGGGAGGTAAATGAACAGGTAAGTGGAGCCCTGACTGCTCTTCTCCATATGGTTCTGGTGGAGACAGGGGTGACAAGTGGGGAGCACCCCTCCCCCCACCCCGATGAAGAAGCAAAAGGCTAGGCCCCTCCAATATTCAACCTCTCCCTCTGTTGCCCTGCCTGTCCCCGCGGGGTGGGGCATGGGGCGTCCGCTGGTCCCTGGGGGGGCGCCAGGGCTCGCTCGGAGGGCCTTTCGTTCGCCTCTTCCCACTCAGGTTCCATCATTTGGCCGCGGGAAGAGAACTCAGGACGCAAAGGATGGCGAGGGTCTGGGACTTAGCACTCCGCCGCCCCCTCCCCCACTGAGTCCCGTGCTCTCCCGGCGGAGGCGGCCTGCGAGGCCGCGCCGCGCAGGCGGCCGGACTGGGGGAGGGGAAACAGGGAAGGAGGGAGGGACCGCCGAGGTACCCGCCCCGAGGCCCCAGCGCCACCTGCCCTCCGCCACCTACCGCGGCTCCTCCAGTTCCCAGGGCCGCGGCCGGAGCAGCTCTGAGCACTCCGTTCACCCTACGGTGCCCTTAAAAGGCGCTGGCACGAACCAATGAGTCCCTGAGGAGAGTGAAGGGACAGCTTCGGTTCACAGAATCCCCCTGAACCGCCCGCGGAGGCCCGAGGCCGGCGTCGTGTCTCCCTCAAAGTCTTGCTCGGATAGCGCTGTCGGGAACGAGCCCGGCGCTTTGATTTAGGAATGGGAGTGGTTTCCTCACTAAAGAGTCACCCCCTCCAAAATCTCACAGAAAGTGGTCGGGCCCAGTTGGAGGCATATCTCGAAATCCGCGGGGGAGGCCATGTCGGAAGAAGGTAAACAAAGCCATCGCCTCTGCCCTCCATTCCCACAGCGGCCCGAATGCAGCTTCCCACTCTGTACGGACAGCCTAAAAGAATTAGCCACAATGCCTCTCACCTGCTCTCCGGTCCCGCCCGCTACAGCCACCTCTCTGAAGGAATCCCCCTTCCCCCAGCAAAGGACGCGTCCGCGCGAAGGCTGCTGGGAAGTGTAGTCCAAGCGCCGATTAGGGCCTGCTCGGAGTTCCAGGAATCCCTATTTCAGCTGCCGGATCGTCTCGAACCTTAAATACCGGTGACTGAAAGGGTTGCGGGCCGTTTCCACCTGGTTCTGTAATTTGCCCCAACCTGGAACACTTTGTAAAGATCAGGATGGCCCCGAGCTGTTCACTCCTTCTCCACCGCCCTCCCCCAGCAGGATGAGGTAATGGGATTGTGATTATGACATCATAGGCGGTTCAGTTGCTTGCGTGGGGGAGGGATGATGGGGGGAGGAGAAGTACGGTGGTTACAGCTGGACCACTTTCCTTCAGACAGAAAGAGAGGGAGGAAACAGGCGGATGGGGAAATATGTCGACGGCGCTATATTTCCTCTTCGGGAAGAGGAAACCACCTTTTATTAAGTCTCCACAACCACCAACACCTCCAACCTCCCACCTCAGCCAAAGTTGAAGTCTTGTATAAAAAGACCGAATGTAGATGTTAGTAGGTGACGAGGTTGGGTAGATGGTTTCTGGCTCTTATGTAGATTTGAGTATCAGCTAACATCAAAGATGGTTCAGAGAGACAAGTAAAAAAATGGAAAGGGAGAGGTTTTAAACAAAGCCTCCGTTTTGTGTTCTCTTCCTAAGGCAGAGTTTTCGATTTCTTTTAAAATTGATGATAAAGTTGTAGAGATGCAAGTAAGCAACTCTATTACAATTAGCATTATATCCCCCCAAAAGACATCGTTTTCTTTAAATCGATATCTACTTTCTGAGATCACCTAGAAAGTAGAGCCAGTGGTGGGGATCTTTCTCACTGAGCCAGGGAAGGGAGGCAGGAGCCACCAAGTCTGCAAACTGAAGGAGTAGAAGAAAAGTGCAGTACAGTACTAATCAAGGAAATGGGGGTGGTAAGAAAATTTAACTTGCACTGCAGTTTCCCCTTGCTAAAAGACAAGCAGCAGAGGCAGGGGCCATGACGTATAGGGGACACGATGTCCAATAACTGTACTGTGCCAGACATCATGCTTCATCCTTTAAATAAATATGTATTCTCATTTTTGCTTATATTTATCAAGTGAAACAAAATCTCCTTATTTGACAGATGAAACAGTTCAAAAGATTAAGTAACTGCTCACATGGCAGACAAAGATAGTATTAAAAAAAGTCTGAGACTCCCTTAATCTCCACCACTAGACTTTTTATTATTAACTGTGCTTATTAAAGCAAAATGGTTGAGTAACATAAGTTGAGAAGGCATTGGCTCATTTGCAAAGCATTGAAAGAAACAGACACTTAAAAAAAATAAACCAAAAAACCTGCAAGCTAGGTTTCAGTCCTCTCTTCAAAGGAAGGTCACACCTCCTTTCTATACTTTGTCAAGTACAGAATCATCCACCAGTGCAGCCCAACTCCCTTGCCCATAATTAATCTCCTGTCTCACTTTTCATGTGCATGTTTAAACTCATGTCCAGGCTGGGCTCGGTGGCTCAGCCTGTAATCCCAGCACTTTGGGAGGCCGAGGTAAGTGAATTGCCTGAGCCTGCGAGTTCGAGACCCAGCTAAGCAACTTGGTTGAGACCTCATCTCCACAATAAATCAAAAATTAGCTGGGCGTGGTAGCACATGCCTATAGTTCTGGCTACTTGGAAGGCGAAGGAGGAAGGATGGCTGGAGCCCAGGAGATCGATGCTGGGGTGCCATGAGTGTGCCATTGCACTCCAGCCTGGGCAACAGAGTGAGACTCCAACTCAAATAAATAAATAAATAAACTCATGTCCTGCTATTTTTCCCAGCTGCTACCCTTTTCTTTTGTTCTTGAGTCACTACTTTTGAACCCTATCTTAATTGTGCCCTCATGGGCCAACCCCATCTCTGACCCTACTCCAATGGGTTTCAGCAGAGCATGCTATTTGGGCTTCTTTATGGTCTCCATCCACATTCTCTAGGGTTCCAGTGACTGGATTCAGTCATCCAGGAGGTCATCATCCAAAGGGGTAGAATTCATTGACTCTAAGCGACTCTCCATTCCCTGCCTAGAGCTCTCCACTTTGCAGAAGTTTAGGTCACTGGGTGAGAGGGGAGGGTCTGAGAAGTGGGGCTCAGTCTACCACTCATGAAAAGGACAAGGAATAGACAGCACACCCCTTATCCCCCCTGCCCTGCAGTGGCTGGGTGGGGAGAGGGTCCCAAGAATGTAGGACTCTTCTCTCTTGCCTGATCCAGGCATCCCAGGAGCTATGGCTTGTACCTCCTATTCTTGTTTGGTGTTTAAGGTGAAGCCCAAGCCGTCGCTGTGCACTGACAACAACAAATATGGGTCAGACTAAGGTCAAGGTGAAGAGACACAGCTCAATGCTTATCACAGTGAATCAGGAGCCTAGATAGGGATTCCCCAAGGATGACATAGGATCAATGCCCTCAATCCAACAGAAAAAGTAAATCTTCAAATGAGATTAAACACCAAACTTTCCACCTCCCTAATATTCTTTCTTAGAGGAAGGGTAAATTAGATATATTAAAAAACCCTCAGAAATCAAGATATGAAAACCAGTATTTGGCTTCCCTTTAAAATAATTCTACCCTTTCACACATTAGTTTGTATGTATGCATGTAAACTTACATGTAATTAAGTATGTTGCAATTAACTAAATCAGCTGGTCATGAAGCAGTGGCAAAGATGGTTGGAAGGACAGCAACCTCATCAGGAAAGAGAGTTGTAAAAAGTCTTTTTTTTTTTTTAAGAAATTAAGTCTCACTATGTTGCCCAGGCTAGCCTAAGAATCCTGGGCTGAAGTCATCATCTCAGGTAACTGTAAAAAGCCATCACACCTGTACAAAATTTTAGGGACCAAGAATGACTTGTTCCATTTGAGAAAATGTCATAAACTCATTTTGGGGGCTGGATTGCAGGAGAATTAGTTTTAGTAATGCTGCAACTTTGTCAGAGTACTTAGATTTTAGTGTCTTTCCATCACCTGACGTTCAACCAAAGCCGCTCACGTTGTGAAGACACAACTGCACTTACTTGGGGACCTACTGCAGAAAGCACTGGTCACCAGGTGTATGCTTGTCGTAATCTATCTGTTTTTGCTACCGCTGAAGAATAACTTCATCTGTATCTACTTGCAGCCTGCAGGGAAGTGTACAGTGCCCCACAAAGTGTGATTATACTGTAGTCATCAAAACAGAGATCAACTCATCCCACACTCCCTTAATCCTCAGTCTGATTTTCAAACTTACCTGGCATAGCAAGGTTCTGTGCTGACTCCCACGCTCACTGTCACTATCCTAGAGGACAAAGACTCTTCAGACACCTCCTTTCTAGGGAAACAGGTCCTACACGTGAAAATGGTATTAGGATTAAAACCAGCTGACTGCACTGTGCCTCTCAGCCACTACCACCACCAAGATCCTGATATCAGACAAAGATTGTACTTCTCGCTTTTGTTACTCAAAATATGGTCTGCAAGCCATCTGCATGGATAGTATCTGGGGGCCTTGATAATTCCTGGAGCCCACTCTAGACAACATTTTGGGAAATTGCATTTTAAAGAACTTCCAAGATTATTTTATTTAATTTATTTTTGAGTTGGAGTCTCACTCTGTCACCTAGATTGGAGTTGCAGTGGCATGATCACAGCCACTGCAGCCTCGACCTGCTGGGCTTAGGCGATCCTTCCGCCTTAGCCTTTCAAGTAACTGGAACCACAGGCACACACCACCACACCCAGCTAAATTTTTGATTTATTGTAGAGACAAGGTCTCACCAAGTTGTCCAGGCTGGTCTCAAAAGCCCTGGATTTAGGCAATCCTTTCGCCTCTGCCTCCTAAAGTGCTGGGATTACAGGATTGGGCTGCCACGTCTGGTCTTCCAAGATTATTTTATCTTATTTTATTTATTTATTTATTTATTTATTTATTTATTTATTTATTTATTTATTTATTTATTTTGAGTTGGAGTCTCACTCTGTCGCCCAGACTGGAGTGCAGTGGCCGCTCCCGGCCACCGCAGCCTCGACCTGCCGGGCTCCGGCGATCCTTCCGCCTCAGCCTTCCGAGTAGCCGGAATTACAGGCATGTGCTACCACGCCCGGCTGATTTTTTGATTTATTGTAGAGATGAGGTATTGCTGCCCAGGCGGGTCTTGAACCCGCGGGCTCAGGCAATCCACTGACCTCAGTCTCCCAAAGGCGCGGGATTACAGGCTGAACCACCGAGCCCGGCTCTATTTTATTTATTTTTGAGTAGGAGTCTCACTCTGTCACCCAGGCTGATGTGCAGTGGCACGCTCACAGCCACCATAGCCTCGACCTGCTGTACTCAAGTGATCCTTCCGCCTCAGCCTTCCAAGTAGCTGGAACTACAGACATGCACCACCTTGCCCAGCTAATTTTTTGATTTATTATAGAGATGAGCTCTCGCCAAGTTGCCCAAGCTGGTTTCCAACCCGTGAGCTCAGGCAATTCTCTCACCTCACCCTCCCAGAGTGCTGGGATTATAGCCGTGAGCCTCTGGGCCCGGCTCCAAGTTTATTTCAAACATTTTTTTTTTTTGAATTAGTATTTCACTCTGTTGCCCAGGCTGTAGTGCAGTGGCATGCTCATGGGCCACCACAGCCTCGACCTGCTGGGCTCATATGATCCTTCCGCCTCAGCCTTCCCAGCAGCTGAAACCACAGGCGTGCCCACCACATCTGGCTACTTTTTAAAAAAAATTTATTGTAGCGTGCTTGGTGGCTCAGCCTGTAATCCCAGTACTTTGGGAGGCCGAGGCGAGTGGATTGCCTGAGCCTGCAGGTTCGAGACCCACCTGGTCAACTTGGTGAGACCTTGTCTCTACACTACACCAAAAATTAGCCAGGCATGGTAGCGCGTGTCTGTAGTTCCTGCTACTCAGAAGACTGAGGTGGAAAGATCTCTGGGGCCCAGAAAGTCGACCCTGGGGTGGCTGTGAGCGTGCATGCCACTGCACTCCAACCTGGTCGAAGGAGTGAGACTACAACTCAAAAAAAAATAAGATAAAATTATTGTAGAGACGAGGTCTCACCAAATTGCCCGGGCTGATCTTGAACCCCTGGGCTCAGGCAATCCTCTCGCCTCCGCCTTCTAAAGTGCTGGAATTACAGGCGTGAGCAACCGTGCTTAGCTATTTTAAACATTTTCGTTATGGAAATTTTCAAATATGCACTGAAGTTTAGAGTATAGGCCAGGCATCATGGCTCAGGTTTATAATTCCAGCACTTTGGGAGGCTGAGGCAGAAGGACTGCCTGAGCCCAAGAGGTTGAGGTTGTGGTAAGCCATGATCATGCTACTGTCTGGCCTTGGCAACAGAAACCCTGGTTTTAAAAAAAGTGTAGCATAATGCCTTACTACTCAAAGTATGGTCCTAGGACCAGCTGCATCAACATCAGCAGGGAGCTTCTTAGAAGTACAGAATCTTAGGCCCCAACCCAGACCTACAGAATCAGAATCTACATTTTAGCAGGAACCCAAGCGGTTAGTATACATATTAAACGTTAAGAAGCACAGATATAAAAGACACCCCTGCCTCCTATTAGCCAACATTCATAGCCAACCTTGTCTCAATACCCACCACCACCTGCAAAAGATTATTTAAAAGCAAATCCCAAGGCGGGCTTGGTGGCTCAGCCTGTAATCCCGCGCTTTGGGAGGCTGAGGTGAGTGGATTGCCTGAGCCCACGGGTTCGAGACCCTCCTGGGCAGGTGAGACCTCATCTCTACAATGAATCAGAAAAATTAACTGGGTGTGGTAGTGTGCGCCTGTAGTTCCAGCTACTTGGAAGGCTGAGGCGGTAGGATCACCGGAGCCCAGCAGGTCAAGGCTGTGGCGGCCGGGAGCTGGCCACTGCACTTCAGTCTGGGCGACAGTGAGACTCCAACTCAAAAAATAAAATAAAATAAAATAAAAATAAACCAATAAAAGCAAATCCCTAATATTAAGAGTTTCTAAGTATTACTTAGTCAATGGGCTCTTTAAAATTTTTATTTAGTTATTTTTGAGTCAAGGTCTCTGTAGTCCAGGCAGTGCAGTGGCAGGGTCATGGCTCACTGCAGCCTCAATCTTATGTGCTCAGGTGATTCCCACGCCGCAGCCTCCAGAGTAGCTGGCACTATAGGTGTGCGTTGCCATGCGCAACTAATATTTTGTGGAGACAAATTCTCGCTATTTTGCCTAAGTTGTTCTCAAACTCCTATGCTCAAGCAGTCCTCCCAACTGGGCCTCCCAAAGTGCTGGAATTACAAACGTGAGTCACTGCGCCTGGTCATTGTTCAAATATTCAAAAACTATCAAAGTTAGAGATTCTTTGGATTGCAATAAGGATAATGCCTGAAGGCGATTCAATTCTCCCACTTTCCCTGGAAAGGAATTTCTTTTTACTCACATAACCTAGCATTTCTGAAATGCTACGCACTAAAAGGGACACTGAGCAAGGAAAGCTCTTGGAAGGGGCCAGATGTCTCTCGCGTGCGCACACACACACCCCCCCCAACACCTGCCACACGGTGGCAAGGGGTTCATCTCCAGCAGAAGGCTAGAGAAGCTAAGAAGAAAAGATCCAAGTAATGGCATGAGAAAGAAGTAAGGAAAATGAGAAGCTTAAAACACCCTTCTGGGCCGGGTATAGTGGCTCATACTTATAATCCCAGCACTTTGGGAGGCTGAGATGGGAGGATTGCCCTAGCTCATGGGTTCGAGACCAGCCTGGGCAACTTGTTGAGACCTCGTCTCTATAACAAATCAAAAATTTAGCCGGGCATAGTAGCGCATGCCTGTAGTTCCAGTCACTTGAAAGGCTGGGGCCGAAGGATCGCCTGAGCCCAGCAGGTCGAGGCTGCGGTGGCCGTGAGCGTGCCACTGCCTTCCAGACTGGGCGACAGAGTGAGACTCTGACTCAAAAAATAAACAAAAAAACCCTTCTCCTCGAAATAACCTCTCCTAGTATTCTTCTTTTTTTTTTTTTTCCCATCTCAGCCTCCCAAAGTGCTGGGATTATAGGCGTGAGCCACCGCACCCGGACTTCCTAGTACTATTCTAACGAGTGGTCATTGTAAACTAGACGCAATTTATTATTATTTTTATTTATTTATTTTTTTTGAGTTGGATTCTCACTCTGTCACCCAGACTGGAGTGCAGTGGCACGGCTCCCGGCCACCACAGCCTCGACCTGCCGGGCTCCGGCGATCCTTCCGCCTCAGTCTTCCAAGTAGCTGGAAGTACAGGCCCGCGCTACCACGCCCGGCTGATTTTGATCTATTATAGAGATGAGGTCTCGCCAAGTTGGCCAGGCGGGGCTCGAACCCTCAGACTTAGGCAATGCACTCACCTCAGCCTCACAAAGGCGCGGGATTACAGGCTGAGCCACCGAGGTCGGCTAAACTAGATGCAATTTAAATCTCCCGGGGTTCATGGGGCGGAGGAAACGAAGAGGACAGAAAGGGTGTGGCGATTGGCCAGAGAGAGAGCCAATGGTGCGCCAGACCCCCTGTGGGGCTGAGTTTACCCAGGCGCTCGCAAACACTGATAAGCCAATTGCCATTTTGCCCCGCCCACAGAAGGTAACGCCCCCAGGTGATGTACGAGCCCAACGATTGGCCACGAGGGTCTGGGCGCGAGCGCGAGGATTGGCTGAGGCAGTTTAGAGGTGACAAGGGATAGGTTATTGGAAGGGCGGAAGATTTGAAAGGTCGACCCCTGTGGCTGTTGGTGTTTATGCACACTTCGGCCTTCGGCGGTGAGAAGCAGGGGAGTCAGACGCTGGCCTCCTCGGTCGAGAAGCAGGATTGTAGTCTGGTTAATTCTGCTGGAGTCTTCGCTGGTGTCCAATCCCTACCCACTTTCATTTCTCCCGAAGGCAAGTCTCACACTGCAAACTTGAGGTAAGCCCTTAGCCGTCTCCGCCACGGGGTCACCGAGACTCCATTTTCCCCTTAGGGTCCGGTCGGGCCCTGCAAACGGAAGTTAAGGAGGGCCGAATGGGAACTATCGGGAGTTAGGAGATCTGAGTTCCTTTCAGTCAAGAGTCTCGAGCTGGCCGTTCTCGATGTCTCAGCCTGTAATCCCAGCACTTGGGGAGGCCGAGGCGAGCGGATTGCCTGAGCCCGCGGATTCAAGACCGGCCTGGGCAACTTGGCAAGACCTCGTCTCTACAATAAATCAAAAATTAGCCGGGCTATCATGGTAGCGCGCGCCTGTATTTCCGGCTATTTGGAAGGCTGAGACGGGAGGATTGCCTGAGCCCACCTGGTCAACGCTGGAGTGGCCGTGAGCGTGCGTGCCACTTCACTCCAGCCTGGGCAACGAGCGAGAACTCAAGTAAAAAAAAAAAAAAAAAGAGTCTCGAGCTGTGGGGCCCGGAACAAGTCAAAGTTCTGTCTTCATTCCACCTTTAAAGTCCTGAGGTTGCCTCTGGTCGGTATGTTCAGGTTTCAACCTAACCTGAAGCCAAGCCTATTGGAGTAAGTGCAATGTAACCGTCCAGCCAGGTTGTGAATCACCCTTCGGGAAACGCCCCTCCTCCAGTACTGCTCTGCTTGGCTGCAAAGGGTGGAGGAGTTTGGGAAAGCTGTGCATAGATGACGTTCTTCTAGCTAAGTTTTGTTTTTTCTTGGTAAGAACTCGGAGACCATGTCTACAGAACGCTTTTCATCCACAAGAGAGGAGGGAAGATCTGGCTCAGGACCCAGTATTAGGTCCAATCAGAGGAAAATGTTAAACCTGCTCCTGGAGAGAGACACTTCCTTTACCATCTGTTCAGATCTCCCTAGAACTCCAGTGAACAAACTCCTTGGCTATTCTGCAAACCTAAGCATTTTGTCTGGGTAAATACGCTTTTGTTTTTATACCTTATTGCGTTTGCTTTTCTAAAAATGAGAGTTTTTGTTTGTTTTTTAATTATCCTGATTCAAAGGTCAAAAGTTTTAAGTCTCAGCTCTATCAAAGGTCAAAAGTTTTAAGTCTCAGCTCTATCCTTGGCTTGAGTCTCTGGCATAGATAATAATCTTACTATGATCTTGTGAGAATCAAATGTGATATCTGGGAAAAGTCATTGAAAACTCCATTGCTGTACTGGGCGTGGTGGCTCACGCCTGTGATCCCAACACTTTGGGAGATGGAGGCGAGAGGATTGTCTGAGCCCAGGGATTCCAGACCAGCCTAGGCAACTTGGCGTGACTTCATCTCTACAATAAATCAAAAAATTAGCTGGGCATGGTGGCACATGCCTGTAGTTCCAGCTACTTGGAAGGTTGAGGTGGAAGGATCACCTGAGCCGAGCAGATAGAGGCTGCAATGGCTGTGAGCATGCCACTGCACTCCAACCAAGGCGACAAAGTGAGACTCCGACTCAAAAAAAAAAAAAAAAGTCTGGTCATGCCATTTCCTGATACCTCAGCTAACAATGAAGAGTACCTGAGAAATACTAGAGACTTCAGGGAGAAATTGTATGTTCATGGTGCACAGGGGCAGAGGATGTGAGGTTAAGATTCATTCCCCTTGGCCAATAAACTGGACTTCACTAAAAAAAAAATTATCTGTCATCATATGTTGATGAAGAGAAAATGAGGTACAGATTATTGTGGTGGGAGATTTTTCTCAACCCAGTCTGAGATATTTCCAAAAAGCAATTATATTTATTTGGACACTGTTTAGTTTATCTGATAGACATTGAAAGATGTTTCAGGTGAAGAGAATGACATGATCTTTGCCTTTCAAGGATATAACATCCTAATGGGAATCTTGTTGTACTATTATGTCTCAACAGAGGAACCCCAAAACGTTGTCTTGATCTTTCGAATCTTAGCAGTGGGGAGATATCTGCCACTCAGCTTACCACTTCTGCAGACCTTGATGAAACTGGTAGGGAGAAGGGAGGTAAAGGCCTCAAAGGGAAGAATGACTTGTAAAGGAGAGGACCGGGCTATAGGATAGAGATGGAGCGCCTGTAGTTCCAGCTACTTGGAAGGCTGAGGTGGAAGGATCACCGGAGCCCAGCAGGTTGAGGCTGTGGTGGCCGGGAGTGGCCACTGCACTCCAGTCTGGGCGACAGAGTGAGACTCCAACTCAAAAAAAAAAGAAATGGAAGTTGGTGAAAGTAGATAGCAAGCCTACCTAGAGAGAGGGAATTTTGTGTGTATTTAGAAGATTTTTGAGAATGATTAAGCCAATGGGAAGAGAAAGATAATAACACTACTAGGAATCACTTTGCATTTGAAAAAGTTAGACAAGAAGGAATAGATTTTGTTGACTGATTAATGGTGGGAATAAAAGTGTAGTAGTTAGAATATGAAAAATTTTGTGCCCTTGTCTGATCTCAGCAAAGACCAAAAAACCAGCATAAAGAAATACGTTGTCAACTAATTCTTATGTTTTCATAGGTTTGTGTCCAAAAGGAATGTTTTATTAGTCAACGATTCTATTGGGTTGATGTATACGTTCATAGCGTTTGTTTCTGGCATGGCCACACTGCAGTGTTGGGAGTTTGTTTATCATCATTTGGAATGACAATGTGCTTGTGAATACACTTGCATTTTGCAGACTTGAAGAAAGTGACTGCTATTTGTGGGTTAAAGAAGATAGAGTGTCAGCCGGGCTCGGTGGCTCAGCCTGTAATCCTGCGCCTTTGGGAGGCTGAGGTGAGTGGATTGCCTGAGCCCGTGGGTTCGAGACCCGCCTGGGCAGTGAGACCTCATCTCTACAATAGATCAAAAAAATCACCTGGGCGTGGTAGCGCATGCCTGTAATTCCGGCTACTTGGAAGGCTGAGGCGGAAGGATCGCTGGAGCCCAGCAGGTCGAGGTTGCGGTGGCCGGGAGCAGCCACTGCACTCCTGTCTGGGCAACAGAGTGAGATTCCAACTCAAAAAAAAAAAAAAAAGAAGAAGATAGAGTGTCAAGTGGAAAAAAATAAACACTTCTGACATATTCTTCTGTTTGAGTTGAGCGGAGGAATAAAGGCAGCAGAAGCAGCTTGAAACTTTTGTGCCGTGTAGTGGAAGAATGCCATCGGGGAAAGCATGGCAAGCATTCAAAGAGGGCCACTTTGACCTGAGTGATTGTCCACCTTCAGAAATACCTTCAGGCCTTGATGAAGACCGTTTTAATGCTTTAATTCAGAATGATGCACACTCATCAACCCAAGAATTGGAAAATGTAATAAACTGTGACCAGTCAACCATCATGCAGTATTTGCATTCCATGTGCAAGTCAAAAATGCTGCGAATTTATGCATTAATCCAACAGTGTTTGTTCTAATTTCAGATTTTCTGAGTGATAACCTTTCTTTTCTACTCATGAAAAATTCTCCATAGGTTAGGATAACGCACTGCTTTCCAGCATTTTTTTTTTTTTTTTTTTTTGGTGACACATAAATTATTAAGTTAATTGTACCTTGTACCATGAAATGAGTACCAATGAAGAGGCTTTGTGTTTAAAAACTCAGCCCCTGAAATGAATATGGCTTACTGGGAATGAAGAAAATCCAAAGGAAAACAGGATGCATAGACAAAGAGTAACTCCTCTTATTGATTCTTCGTATCTGATTGCAGGTCACTTGGATTCTTCAGGACCCCAGGAAATACTGTTAGCTAGGATGTAAGTTCTGTTACGAAATGAACCCCATGCTAAACCTTTTCAGCACTGGTCAGAAGGATTTTTCTCTATGCAGACTCTGCAGAGTACCAAAACTTTTGCTCTGGTATAAGTGCACTTTGAGACCTAGATCCTTAACTTGAACAGCTTCTAAGTTTCCCAGATCTAAATAGTGTCATGAAAATGAAGTCTATTTAAAATAACCATCATATACAATCAGAATTATCTTTGAAAATGAAGGAAATGGTATAATGTACTTATGTTTAGGCTTTTATTTGCAAGTGAGAAGTGACACATTTTTGTGATTTAAAGTGCAGAGTGCAGGCAGGCTCTGGAGTCAGAGTGTCAGGATTCCATTGACTTACTGCTTCACCACCTGATTCCATCAGGTTTCTTAACTTCATTGGACCTCAGTTTCTTTATTTGTAACATGGAGATAATAACAACTTCTCATAAACAACTCTTATAAGAATTAAATGAAAATATTTATCCCAGACTCAGTGGCTCAGCCTGTAATCCTAGCTGTTTGGGAGGCCGAGGCAAGTGGATTGCCTGCCCATGTGTTCGAGACCAGCCCGGGCAACTTGACAAGACCTCGTCTCTACAATAAATTAAAAAAAAAATTAGCCAGGCGTGGTACAGAGCGCCTGTAGTTCTGACTACTTGGAAGGCTGACGTGGAAGGATCGCCAGAGCCCAGCAGGTTGACGCTAGGTGGCCATGAGTGTGCTACCGCACTCCAGCCTGGGCGACAGAGTGAGACTCCAACTCAAAAAACAAGCAAACAAAAAAGAAAATGTCTATCTAGCACATAGCAAGCATTTTATAATGCTTGTTATTATTACTACCATAGATTCTTTGTTGGCGATCCTAAAATGTTTAGTCAGGGAATACAGAGGAGTAAAAATTAATTTTAATTCAAATGTTAAACTTGTAAATTTCCTACTTGACTGTTTTAATCTTTTTAGAATGTTATCCTTTGATGTTCAGGTGAATTAGGCACTACTTTAGTGCACTAGAGAAGGTTTTCCGTGACTATTTTTATTAATACATGTGAAAATCTCATTTGCATTGCTTGTGTTTTCTTTGAATTGCTTCAAATGTCCTAACACATATAGATGATTAAATCCTGGTAGGGAGGATAGAAATTAATTTTAAACAATATTAGCTCCTAATAGTGTTGGAAGATTAGTAAATTATAAGTTGTACCAACATAACACTCTTTTATCTTTAGTGCTTATCTATGGTTATACAAGTGGAATAGGGGCCTTATCCCCAGAATGCCTTTTGAGTCTTGATACCTACCACAGGGAATACCCTATGTCAACTAGGAATGGGGCTCCTACAATGAAAGAAAGGAAAATTTGGGATGCCCCGACCCACTGAAGAATAATCAAACAGTATTTGGGGCTTACCTTACTGGCAGTGTGTTTTAATCTACAGGAATCGTCACCAGCGCCTTATGAAATGCAGCTCAGTGAGTAGCCCCTCTTTTTTGGGTTTGGGTTGCTTCTCAGGTGGGAGTCAGAGGGTTTCCAATTCACCTGTAGTTGTGTTTTGTTTTTGTTTTTTGTTTTGAATTGGATTCTCACTCTGTCACCCAGACTGGAGTGCAGTGGCCGACCACTGCAGCCTCAACCTGCTAGGCTTCGGCAATCCTTCCGACTCAGCCTTCCAAGTAGTTGGAACTACAGGCGTGCACTACCACGCACTGCTAATTTTTGATTTATTGTAGAGATGAGGTCTTGCCAAGTTGCCTAGGCGGGTCTCGAACCCACAGACTCAGGCAATCCACTCACCTTGGCCTCCCAAAGCGCTGGGATTACAGACTGAGCCACCTAGCCCAGCCGTTTTGTTTTGTTTTTTGAGTCAGAGTCTTACTCTGTTGCCCAGGCTGGAGCGCAGTGGCATGCTCATGGCCACCCCAGCATCAACCTGCTGGGCTCAGGTGATCCTTTCACCTCAGCCTTCCAAGTAGCCAGAACTACAGGCACATGCTACCACACACCCAGCTAATTTTTTGATATATTGCAGAGACAAGTTCTCACCAAGGTGCCCAGGCTGGTCTCGAACCCCCGGGCTCAGGCAATCCTCTTGCCTCGGCCTCCCAAAGTGCTGGAATTACAGGCTTAAGCCACCGTATTCGGCCCACCTGTAGTTTAAGGATGCTGAATGTTCTCAGTCAACCCTCTCTTTCAGGCATACCTTCTTTGCAGCACTCCGAATGGTCTGGACCATGGCTACAGAAAGAAAGATGCAATGTGTAGCTCATCTGCAAATAAAGAAAATGTGAGTGTTTAATGGGGAACTAGATATAGTAACAGTTTTATTCCTTTGAGTGAAGCAACTTATTGGTATCATTGTGAAACCTTGAGCAGTTTATACCTTTGTATGCTAGACAAGAAAATGTCATTGCTATAGGAAAAAAATTCTGTTTTTTTCTCATTAAATAAAGTTTTGACCCTAGGACAGAAATCTAATTCCAGTTCCTCCGCAGCAGGTCATCATTATTCATGTTCAGTTAATCAGTTTAGGACAAGAATTACCATTACTGTAATATAAGGAATTTAGGAGTTCTTTTTAAAAAAAATTCAGATAAATTGCATAATTTGTTCATAGATTCTTTTTGTAGCTTTACATCCAGGTGTAGATTTCTTAATTTCCTATTTTCCCCTTAGTCTAGCTTTTTGAGCTCCTATTCTGAGAAAGCCATGGTCCTTTTCATCTAAGCCTGAGGCCATCCTTCAGTTCCAAGTTGAAACTAACCTCTCCAGAGTTACCTAATCACTAAGATAATTCTCTTTCTAATCTCTTCAACTAATCCCCTTTTCTAGACATCTTTTTTCTTTTCTGCCTCCCATCCCTTTCCCCAGGTCAATAGTCATAAAAGTTAGCTGCTGTTCTTTTTTTAATTGACTAAGATATGCCCATGTTTTTGACTGTTCTAATCAGCTTTTTCTTGATTTAAAATACTATCTTTCTAATCTCCCTTTATAATCACTTTTTAAATTCTCACCATCCCCAGGTAGGCTCCCTGTGCCTACCCCCTATTCCTTTTACTTATAACCTTAAAATTAGTATCCTGCAAAGCAAATCTGTATTCCATATGTCAAATCCAAACCGTAATTTGTGTCTTCAGAATATAGAGTCAGCCTTGATTGTATATAATGTGTTTTGTGAGGGTTATTTATGGCTTTATTAGATGAAATGTTTTTCTCAGGGCCAGCTAATACTTCTCGTTGCTTACCCAATGCAGTTTTTCTTATGCAGGAAAACAACACTTTGAAGCCCTTAGAGTGGCAGGCACCGAGGAACCTAAGGCTTCACAAGAGATCAGGGGGGCCTTGTATGTCTCCCCTTTCTCTGCTGGTAAGTCACGGAATGTCATCATTAACGTGATAGTGGCTAAAGGGTGGCGGCTCTGGATTTTTAAACATTTGGATCTTTCTAAATTGGTGTGGGCAAGGAAAGGAGATGGAGAAGTTAAGTTTGAGCAAGGAAAAAAAGGAGCCAGATGTCCTCTGTTTTTTTTTTTTTTTTTTTGAGTTGGAGTCTCACTCCGTCATTGTTGTCATCGTTATGTACCTTAAAAATATTTTAGGCCGGGCTTGGTGGTTCAGCCTATAATCCCAGCACTTTGGGAAGCCCAAGTGAGTAGATTGCCTGAGCCCGCGGGTTGGAGACCAGCCTGGGCAACTTAGCTAGACTTCGTCTCTACAATAAATCAAAGATTAATTGGGTGTGGCGGTGCACGCTGTAGTTCTGGCTACTTGGAAGGCTGAAGCGGAAGGATCACCTCAACCCAGCAGGTCAGTGCTGGGGTGGCTGTGACTGTGCCACTGAAACTCCAGCCTTGGCAACAGAGTAAGACTCCAACTCAAAGAAAATTTTCAGTCCAGGCATGGTGGCTCAAGCCTGTTATCCTAGTACTGTGGGAGGCCAAGGTGAGAGGATTGCCTGAGTCCAAGGGTTCAAGACCAGCCTGGGCAAATTGGCGAGACCTCTTCTCTACAATAAGTAAAAAAATTAGCCAGGCATGGTAACGCACGCCTATAGTTCCAGCTACGTGGAAGGCTGAAGTGGAAAGATCACCTGAGTCCAGCAGGTCAAGGTTATGGTAGCCGTGAGTGTGCCACTGCACTCCAGCCTGGGCGACAGAGTGAGACTACAACTAAAAAATATATATGTAGATTTCGTTACATAGTCTAGATTCCTCTCCAAAAAGGTTATAGAAATTTACATTTTCATCAGCAATTTATATCTCAGTGAGATTTGTCATCACTTTAAAATAACTAATTAGATTAAATATTTTACATTTTAAAAATTAAGCTGAGCACAGTGGCTCACACCTATAATCCCAGCACTTTGGGAGGCAAGAGGATTGCCTGAGTCCTGGATTGCCTGAGACCAGCCTGGGCAACTTGGAAAGACCTCATCTCTATGATAAATCAAAAATTAACCCGGTGTGGTAGCTTGCGCCTGTGGTTCCAGCTACTTGGAAGGCTGAGGTGGAAGGATCTCCTGAGCTCATCAGGTAAAGGCTTCAGTAGCCATGAACGTGCCATTATACTCCAGCCTGGGTGACAGAGTGAGCCTCCACTCCAAAATAAAAATAAAAATTAATAGTTGTATGACTGGGTGTGGTGACTCATGCCTGTAAGCCCAGCACTTTGGGAGGCTGAAATGAGAGGGTTTCCTGAACTGAAGGGTTCGAGACCTCATCTCTACAATAAATCAGAAAATTAGCCAGGAGTGGTGGTGCATACCTGTGGTTCCAGCTACTTGGAAGGCTGAGGTGGAAGGATCGCCTGAACCCAGCAGGTCGAGGCTAGGGTGGCTTTGAGTGTGTCACTGCACAACAGCCTGGATGACAGAGTGAGACTCCTACGCAAAAAAAAAAAAAAAAATTAGTAATTTAAAATCAGAATCCAAATATTGAAAAAATAAAAATAATTTGCAGCAATATCATGTGACTATATTTTCTGTAGTGAATGAATGTGTATGATGTCCATTAGCTGCTGGGGTCTTAACTTATTCGGGTACTCACTTGGTTTTCATAGACCACGGACTAGAGGGATTCAGATTCTAAGTAGATAAAGTTGATCATATTTTAGATATTTGGTTTTTTTTTTTTTTTTTAGTTGGAATCTCACTCTGTAGTTCAGACTGGAGTGCAGTGGCACGCTCATGGTCACTGCAGCCTTGACATGCTGGGCTCTGTCACCTCAGCCTTCCAAGTAGCTGGAATTATAGGTGCACGCCAACACACCCAGCTAATTTTTTGGTTTATTGTAGAGATGAGGTCTTGCCAAGTTGCCCAGGCTCAAGTGCTGGGATTACAGCTTGAGTCACCGTGCCTGGCTAGATATTTGATTTTTGAGATGGAGGGATGACTTGGAGCATGGTAAATTACTGGATAGTCTTGTGTGTATGTGTGGTAAAATATATATACCATAATATTTACCAATTTAACTATTTTTGAGTGTTGTATAGTTGACATTAAATACATTAATAAGCCGGGCTCGGTGGCTCAGCCTGTAATCCCGCGCCTTTGGGAGGCTGAGGTGAGTGGATTGCCTGAGCCCGCGGGTTCGAGACCAGCCTGGGCAACTTGGCGAGACCTCTTCTCTACAATAAAATAAAATAAAAAATTAACCGGGTGTGGTAGCGCGCACCTGTAGTTCCAGCTACTTGGAAGACTGAGGCTGAAGGATCGCCGGAGCCCAGCAGGTAGAGGCTGCGGTGGCTGGGAGCAACCACTGCACACCAGTCTGGGCGACAGAGTGAGATTCCAACTCAAAAAAAAAAAAAAAAAAAGATACATTAATGATGTCATGAAACCATCACCACAATCTATTTCCAGAATTTTTTCATCATTCAAAATAAAAGCTCTATAACCGTTAAATGATAACTTCCCATCCTTTTCTCTGCCTTGCCCTTGTTATAACATCTATTTTCTGTCTCTCTGAGTTTGATGACTCTAGGTTCTTCATATCAATTGAATCATAAAATATTTTGTCCTTTTATGTCTGGCTTATTTCAATTAGCATTATGTCTGCAAAGTTCATGTCGTAGTATGTGTTAGACTTCTATTCCTTTTGTATGCATGTACCACATTTTGTTTATCCATTCATCCATTGATGGACATTTGGGTTGTTTTTACCCTTTGGCTATTGTGAATAATGCTGCTGTGAACGTAGGTGTGCATATAGCTGTTTGTGTCCTTGCTTTCAATTCCTTAGTGTCCTTACTCAGAAGTAGAATTGCTGGATGTATGGTAATTCCATGTTTACTTTTTTGAGAAATGACCTTACTGGTATCCATAGAGGCCGTACCCTTTTACATCCCACCGACCATGAACAAGCACTTGTTATTTTATTTTTTTATTTTTTGAGTTGGCATCTTACTCTGTTGCCCAGGCTGGAGTGCAGTGGCATGCTCACGGCTACCCCAGCGTTGACCTGCTGGGCTCAGGCAATCCTTCGCCTCAGCTTTCTAAGTAGCCGGAACTACAGATGTGCACTACCAGGCCTGGCTAATTTTTGATTTATTATAGAGACAAGGTCTCGCCAAGTTGCCCAGGCTGGTCTCTAACCTGCAGGCTCAGGCAGTCCACTCGGCTCGGCCTCCCAAAGTACTGGGATTACAGGCTGAGCCACTGACCCTGGCCTTATTTTATTTATTTATTTATTTTTCAAACTCTTGTCACCCAGGCTGGAGTGCAGTGGCAAGCTCACAGCCTTCACAGCCTCGGCCTGCTGGTCTCAAGCTATCCTTCTGCCTCAGTCTTCCAAGTAGCTGGAACTACAGACACACGCCACCACACCTAGCTAGTTCTTGTGATTTATTGTAGAGATGAGATCTCACCAAATTTCCCAGGCTGGTCTTGAACCCCTGGGCTCAGGCAATCCTCTCACCTCAGCCTCCCAAAGTGCTGGGACTACAGGCTGAGCCACCGTACCCAGCCTGTTATTTTTATAATATTCATCCTAATGGTTGTATAGTGGTATCTCATTGTGATTTTTATTTGTATTTTCCTAATGATTACTTGTGTTGAATTTTTTTTTTTTTTTAGTTAGTGTCTCTCTCTGTTGCCCAGGCTGGAGTGCAGTGGCATACTCATGACAACTGCAGCCTCTACCCGCTAGGCTCAAACGATCCTTTTGCCTCAGCCTTCCAATTAGCTGGAACCACAGGCGTGCAACATCATGACCAGCTAACTTTTTGATCTATTGTAGAAACAAGGTCTCACCATGTTTCTCAGGCTGGTCTTGAACTCTTGGGCTCAGGCAATCCTCTCCCCTCCGCTTCCCAAAGTGTTGGGATTATAGGTGTGAACCACCATACCCAGCCTTTTTTTTTTTTTTTGAGGCAGAGCCTTGCTCTGTTGCCCAAGCTAGAGTACAGTGGCATGATCATAGTTCACTATAACCTCAAACTCCTGGCCTCATGTGATATTCCTGCCTCAGCCTCCTGAGTAGCTGAGAGTATAGGCATGCACACTACTTTGCTTGGCTAATTTTTTGTAAAGACAGGATCTCGTGATGTTGTCCAGGCTAGTCTTAAACTCCTGGCTTCAAATATTCCTCCCACTGTAGCTTCCTAAAATGCTGGGATTATAGGCATGAGCCATTGCACTGACCAGAGCATCTTTTGATGTGCTTATAGGCCATTTGTGTATCTTCTTTAGAGAAATATTTACTCAAGTTCTGTTTCGTTTGTGTTGTTGTTTGTTGTCACTGAGTTGTGGGAGTTCATTATGTAGAGGGTGCCAAAAAAATGTATACACTGTTTTTTGGGGTTTTTTTTGAGTTGGAGTTTCTCTCTGTCGCCCAGGCTGTAGTGCAGTGGCAGCACCTTGACGTCCATCGCAGGCCTGACCTCCTGAGCTCAGGCAATCCTTCCGCCTCAGTCTTCCAAGTAGCTGGAACTACAGGCACGCACCACCATGCCCGGCTATACACATTTTAAGAAAGGAAAAAACTATTAAAATTGTAATAATATATGCCAATAACAAAACATGAATATAAGTCATATTTGACTTCTGTGATTACACATTGCTACTATAACTCAATTCAACTTTGAAAAGTAATATTTAGCCTGGGCAACTTGGTGAGACTTCATCTTTAAAATACATCAAAAAATTAGCCAGGCATGGTGGTACATGCCTGTAATTCCAGCTGCTCAGAAGGCTGAGGTGGGCGGTTCACCTGAGCCCAGCAGGTCGAGACTTGGTGGCCATGAGTGTGCCACTGCACTCCAGTCTGGGTGACAGAGTGAGACCCTGATCCAAAAAGAAAAGAAAAGAAAAGAAAAGTAGTATATAGGTAACACCTTTTTTTTTTTGAGTTGGAGTCTCACTCTGTTTCCCAGGCTGGAGTGCAGCAGCACATTCACGGCCACTGAGCTAAGGCAATTCTTTTGTCTTAGCCTTCCAAGTAACTGGAACTACAGGCATGCGAAACCACGCTCAGCTAGTTTTTGTTGATTTATTGTAGAGATAAGGTCTTGCCAAGTTTCCTAGGCTGGTCTCGAACCCCTGGTTTCAGGCAATCCTCTTGCCTCCGCCTCTCAAAGTGCTGGGATTACAGGCATGCGCCACCACACCCGGCCTAGATAACATCTTAAAATGTATATACATTTTTTTGACACCCTGGGTATATTCTGATATTAATCACTTGTCAGATATTTTCTCTCTTTCTGTGGGTTACCTTTTCATCCTCTTAATATCCTTTGATGTGCAGGAGTTTTTCATTTTGATGAAAACCAATTTATCCCTTTCTTCTTTTGTTATCTTTATTTTTGGTAGCAAAACCCAAATCCAATGTCATAAAGCTTTTTCCCAATGTTTTCTTCTAAGAGTTTTATAGTATATATATATATGGTTTGTTTGTTTGTTTGTTTGAGTCAGTCTCATTCTGTCACCCAGGCTGGAGTGCAGTGGCATGCTCACAGCCTCAACTTGCTGGGCTCAGGTGATCCTTCCACTTCCAAGTGCTGGAACTACAGGAATGTGCCACTATGCCCTGCTAATTTTTTGATTTGCTGTAGAGATGAGATCTTACCAAGTTGCTCAGGCTGATCGCGAACCCGTAGGCTGAGGTGGTCCTCTTACCTTGGCCCCCCAAAGTGCTGGGATTACAGGCTGAGTCACCGAGCCTGGCTCTAGATATGTTTTTAATAGTTTCTAATGTTGCCAATCTACTCAATAGGACAATGGAAACTCAATGGAAAGTGACCTGAAATATCTAGGCAGTCCCATTACTGCTGTTCCAAAACTGGATAAAAATCCAGGACTAAGTGAAGACCAGGCTCTAGAGCTTTCAGATGAACTGATGAAGTTTTCCCTGGAAGATCAAGAAGAGACCAAGGTAAAATGTTCTCTGTCGGGATCTTTGCATCCTTTGCATTTCTTCATTCTGTTAAAAGGAAAATTTTAGACATATTAAGCTTAGCAGAGTCTATTTGAGTAAAAAAACAATTGGTGAATCTGGCAGCCCTCAGAACCAGAAGAGGTTCAGTAAAACTCCAGTCGGAGCCGGGCTCGGTGGCTCAGCCTGTAATCCCACGCCTTTGGGAGGCTGAGGTGAGTGGATTGCCTGAGCCCGCGGGTTCGAGACCCGCCTGGGCAGGCAAGACCTCATCTCTACAATAAATCAAAAAATTAGCCAGGTGTGGTAGCACACGCCTGTAGTTCCAGCTACTTGGAAGGCTGAGGCGGAAGGCGGAAGGAACCCAGCAGGTTGAGGCTATGGTGGCCGGGAGCGGCCACTGCACTCCAGTCTGGGCGACACAGTGAGACTCCAACTCAAAAAAAAAAAAAACACCTCTAGTCGGCCACATGGTCAGGCAGCCTTTTATGGACAGAAAATGGAAATGAAGCACAGAAAACAGAAGTGAGGTACAGAGACAGTCGGGTTGGTTACAGCTCAGGATTTGCCTTATTTGAACATGGTTGAACAGTTGGTTGCTTGTGATTGACTGAGGTTCAGCTATTTGTTACAAAAGTATTCTTGTATGTTAGGCTTTCGGTTAGTTTCCATAGGAAGTTAGTTGTAATTTGTCATGTAAGGATCCAAGTACAGAGGCATCCTCAGACCAAAGTTAGTTTAACAATTCTTTCTTTCTTTTTTCTTTAGCCAGAGTCTCACTCTGTCACCCAGGCAGGAGAGCAGTGGCATGCTTGTGGCCACTGCAGCCTCGACCTGCTGGCCTCAGGCAATCCTTCTACCTCAGCATTCCAAGTAGCTGGAACTGTAGATGTGTGCCACCAAGCCCAGCTAATGTTTTTGACTTATAGAGACAAGGTCTTGCCAAGGCTGGTCTCGAATCCCCGGGCTCGGGCCTCTGTCTCCCAAAGTTCTAGGATTACAGGTGTGAGACATTGTACCCAGCTTTGTTTAACATTTCTGAATGAACTTCATTTCTTTGATTCAAGTAAGAGTATTGGTGTGTTTTTAAAATGTACATTTTATAAGGCAAATATGGTATAGTGGAGTTAGAACACTTGGATTCTAGTCCTCTTCTTTTTTTACTTAGTGTTATGACCATTCACAAAACAATTAACTACTCTAGACCTCAGTTTTTAATTTATAAGATGGAGAACATAGTAATAAAAAGATACTCCTTCAATAGGTCTGTTGTGAATATGATAAAATATTAAAAGTAGCTCATGTTTGTACTGTGTACATACACACATGGTAACTGTGTGGTGAAGGATATGTTCATTTGGTTCGTGGTTATCATTACACCATGTATACATAAATCACACTGACCTTGAATATACACGATTTTTATTTGTCAATTATACCTCAATAAAACTTGAAAAAAAGGTTTAAAGCAATTTGTAATACTGTTTTATCCACAGTGATTTGAAGACCCCCTGCCCCCAGCAGATACCTGAAACTTGGATAGCTCTGAACCTTATATATTCACTATGTTTTTTCCTAAATATATGTACTTAAGATAAAGTTTAATTTTTAACTAGACACAGTAAGAGATTTACAATGATATGCTGGGCATGGTGGCTTACACCTGTAATCTCAGCATTTGGGGAGGCTGGTGCAGGCAGATTGCTTGAGGCTACGAGTTGGAGACCAGCTTGTGCAGCATAGTGAGACCCCTGTCTCTACAAAAATAAAAAATAAAAAAAAAGCCAGGTGGGGTGGTACACACCTGTAATCCCAGCTCCTCAGGAGGCTGAGGCAGGAGGATCACTTGAGCTCAGGGGTTCAAGACTGTAGTGAGCTATGATTGCCCCACTGCACTTCAACCTGGGCAACAGAGTAAATCATATGGTAATTCTATGTTTAATTTTTTGAGGAAGGGCCATACTGTTTCCACAGCAGCTGCACTGTTTTATATTCACACCAGTAATGCACAAGAGTCCCAATTTTTCCACATTCTAGCCAACACTTGCTATTTTGTGCTTTTGATAACATCCATCCTAATGAGTCTGAAGTGGTAGCTCACTGTATTTCACTAATGACTATGTGGCATCGAGTATCTCTTCATATGCATACCGGCCATTTTTATATTTTCTTTGGAGAAGTGTGTATTCAAGTCCTTTGCCTATATTTGAAATGAGTTGTTTCTTTTGTTTTGTCTAATTGTAGTCCTTTATATATCTGAATATCAATCCCTTATCAGATATATGATTTGCAAATATTTTCTCCCATTATGTTGTTTGCCTATTCACTCTGTTGACTGTGTCCTTTGATGAAAAAAGTTTTTTTAACCCAGGCACAGTGGCTATAATGCCTGCAATCCTAGCACTTTGGGAGGTGGAGGCGAGAGTATTGCCTGAGCTCAGGGGTTCGAGACCAGCCTGAGCAACAAGGTGAGACCTCAGCTCTACAATAAATCAAAAATCAGCCAGGCATTGTGGCCCATGCCTGTGGTTCCAGCTACTTGGAAGACTGAGGCAGAAGGATCACCTGAGCCCAGAAGGTTAAGACTACAGTGACCATGAGCGTGCTACTGCACTCCAGCCTGGGTAACAGAGTGAGACGCTGACTAAAAACAAAAAGGAAGTTTTTCATTTTGATGAAGCCTAATTTATCTACTTTTTGTAGTGCTGCCTGTACTTTTGGTGTCATATCCAGGAAACCACTGACAAATTCAATATCATGCAGCTTTTTCCTTCTGTTTTCTTCTAAAAGTTTATAGTATTAGCTCTTAAATTTAGATATTTGATCCCATTTTGAGTTGATTTTTTATATATGGTATACAAGAAGGTTTTAATTTTGTTCTTTTGCTTGTGGAAATACAGTTTTCTCAGCCTGTTTGTCAAAAAGACTATCTTTTCCCTGTTGAATGTTCTTGATATCCTTTTTGAAAATCATTTTACCATATATGCAAGACTTTATTTCTAGCAGCCTCTGGAGCCAGACTTCCTCATACCTTGACTCTGCCACTTTTAGCTGTATGACTATAGCTGAGTTATATGATCTCCCTGTGCCTCAGTTTCTTAGTCTGTAAGACAGAGATTGGAGCCGGGCTCGGTGGCTCAGCCTGTAATCCTGCGCCTTTGGGAGACTGAGGTGAGTGGATTGCCTGAGCCTGTGGGTTCGAGACCCGCCTGGGCAACTTGGCAAGACCTCATCTCTACAATAAATCAAAAAAAAAATCAGCCGGGCGTGGTAGTGAGCACCTGTAGTTCCAGCTACTTGGAAGGCTGAGGCGGAAGGATCACCGGAGCCCAGCAGGTCGAGGCTGCGGTGGCCCGGGAGCGGCCACTGCACTCCAGTCTGGGTGACAGAGTGAGACTCCAACTCAAAAAAAAAAAAAAGACAGAGATTGGGCCAGTTGAGGTGGCTCAAGCCTGTAGTAATCTCAGCACTTTGGCAGGCCGAGGTGAGGGAATTGCTTGAGCCCACGGATTCGAGAATAGTTTGGGCAACTTGGTGAGACCGTCTCTACTACAATAAATCAAAAAATTACCTAGGCGTGGTAGCACGCACCTGTAGTTCCGGTTACTTGGAAGACTGAGGCGGAAGGATCGCCTGAGCCCAGCAGGTCGATGCTGGGGTGGTGGTGAGCATGCCACTGCACTTCAGCCTGGGCAATGGAGTAAGACTCCAACTCAAAAAAAGAAAAAGACAGAAATTGTCCTAATACCTGTTTCATAGGGTTGTTGTAAGGATTGAATATGTTGATTATATAATTACACATGAAACAAGTAGAACAATATTTGTCAATAGTGCTTAATTCTTACAGTATATTGCAATATAAGTGCTTAATTATTATAGTGTAGGGATAAAATATGTGGAGTTGTAAAAAAGGCTGTTAGGTGAGGGACTGCTCAATGGCTTTGATGTTTTCAGCAAAGTAACAATTGAAGTAATCTGTTGACTTAGATCTTGAAAAGCAGGAAAAAGTTTATATTTGACTTTTGGAGACTGCAGAATTCGTAAAAGGCAAATGAAATTATATTGTTAGCCGGGCTCGGTGGCTCAGCCTGTAATCCCGCGCCTTTGGGAGGCCGAGGTGAGTGAATTGCCTGAGCCCGCGGGTTCGAGACCCGCCTGGGCAACTTGGCGAGACCTCATCTCTACGATAAATCAAAAAATCAGCCGGCGTGGTAGTGCATGCCTATAATTTGGCTACTTGGAAGGCTGAGACGGAAGGATCGCCAGAGCCCAGCAGGTCGAGGCTACGGTGGCCGGGAGCGGCCATTGCACTCCAGTCTGGGCGACAGAGTGAGACTCCAACTCAAAAAAAAAAAAAAAGAAATTATATTGTTAAGGTCCCATGAGGGTATTATAAGGCAGAATTGTATGGCATAGTGTCTTTCTATAAGAATACTCTGGCCTGGAGGCAAGATTGGAACTTTGGAACTCTAGGGATAATAAAGTGAGGGTTGGGCTTTGCCAGTGGTGGATGAATGTGGGGTTAAGGGGCCTCAGTGATAATGAAGGCAGCAGAGAAGTTGATGATGACTCGAAGCCTGGCTGAGCCGCCAAATGTCATTAGGTAGACTCGGTGAAGAACATCAATGTGACTGAAAGTTGCTGAGAATGTATAAAGTGGCTGGTTTAGAAAGTTTTGAGAGCTCAGGGAGATTTTAGTCAGTTTGAGGGCATGCCATGTTTGAGCTCTTGGGAGTTGAGAGACAGATAGTGGTTATGGGGTTTTGTTTTGTTTTATTTTGGTTTTATCCCAGTTTGTTGAGAGCCTGATATAGAATGCTGGAGAAGCTTGGTGCAAGTATTTGAGGAGCTGTGAAGTCACACTCTTACCAAAGTGTTGTCAGTGAATATTGTAAGAATGTGGGAAGTACAATGGTTTTTGTATTGAACATAGTAACAGGGACTAGAGTGGAAGGAGGAAAGGAAAAATGAGAGTCAGGTAATAATAAAAACTTCCATTTATTAGCT